TCAGCTGAGGTCTTCTTGTCGCTCTTGTGAATCGGCGACACACTGCGCATGATGACACCACTGTTTTGGCAAGTTCTTGTACTTCATGAGGCATTCCACATCGAGCGAGAACATTTCGAAAGTCCATCGCTGGACAGTGCCACATGCGCTCATGTAGACCAAGAAGCAGGCGTTTGGCCTTTTGCTCATCAGTGGTCACCATCGTGGGAAGCTTCTTGAAGATGCGCCTGAAGTCATAGAGTGGCTTGATACTCCTGCTTACTTCTTCTTCTCCTTCAATGACTTGCAACTCTTCGTCTTCATAGGGCGCTGGCATCTCATCTGTCAGAGGTTCAATGACTTCCTCTGGTTCTTGCTTTACTGGCACAACCTGTGGGGCCGGTGTGCCAGGAGCAGCTGCGCTTGCCGCCGGTGTTCTTGGCATTGGTGTGCTAGGCAGGGGCGGCGCTGGATTCCTTGAAGAGCTGGACGATGGGTAGTGCCCAAAAATGCAAATGAGCCAGTCCTCATCAAAGTCGACAGGTTCATGACATTGATGATGTGATAGTTCACGAAGGTCTTCCATGGGGAGCAGTCGCCATGCTTCCACATTGCCACGAACCATGAGCCGCAGGAAGGACTCTTCTGCCTTGAGGTGAGGTGTAGGCACTGGCTTTGTCCACGGTTGTAGATGGGCACAAACTCCTGTCACCGCTAAATGCTCTGCCATCGTGCTGCGCAGCCATGCGAGAGTGATTGGATCTCGCAACCAATGAATGTAGTCCTGCTCCTTCTCCTTCTGATCAAAGGCTTCCATGCTGTCAGCAAGAATCTTCGCCATGGCATACTTGAAGACTGCCGTCTGTTCGTTGTTGAAGCCGATCTCAGCTCCTGAGGTCAATGAGCTCTGAGCAATCTTTCTGTTTGTGAGAGCTTCTCTCTTGAAGGCGTCCATGAGGTTCTCTGATTTCTTGGCTTCACGAGCCTTCTTGGATCGAGGGTCTTCATCAGGTCTTCTGCCATATCGACATTCTCCTGGAAGAACAGTGTGCTCCATATGTCGTGGTGCAAAATGTCCAAGTGAGGATCTTTCGCATTCCCAGTACACTTGGCTGATGAAGTTGATGGCCTTCTTGATGTCTTTAATGATGGCTTGGCATAGCTTCCTTGGATACACGGAGGCGATGGTGGTTCGGTTCTTACCATCCGCTTGTCCTTGTAGCCATCCATGTGCTCTGCCATGTCCGCCACATCGAAGAAGGCAACTTTGAAGTGTTCTGTTGGACTGCAAGCCGGTCGGCTTAAGAACTGGAGCACCATCTTCATTCGCTGCACCAAACTGACATTGGTCCAGTCGTTGTCGTTCTCCAGGAAGTTGAAGCTCATTCCATAGTGCAGAGGACCATGGTTGCTCGAGCAAGAACATCTTGTGTCTCTTGCGCTGTTTGTGGAACATCTTCTGGAGTTCTGTCAGCGCTGGCTTTTCTTCCTCACGTTCTCGGGCAGTGTCTGCTGGATGATCACGGCTGTTGGCAGATACAGACCACGGTCGGCAATTGGGAGAGCCCAGGAGACATTCGGGATCCAGCTCATCGTGGACTTGTCGCAGTAGAGCTTGATGTGGTCCATAGCCGATGTCCCAGCCATAGCGCATGTCCACCGGAAAACAAACTGTCAGTCCTGACAGCAATGCCAGCAAGGAGAGTCGAGCTGATCCAGAACATAGTTCCCAAACATGAAACTTCTTCTTGCTCTTCTTTGCTCGATCCAGCCACCACAAGCAATTCTTTGGTGTGATGGGAGCTGCCTTGAGACGACTGTAGAACTCCTCGGGAACTGCCTTGTAGAACTTCCTGAGGTAGGCCTTCTTGTGATCAGGCAGATGCTCAGGGAAGTGATCTTCCTCATAGGCCTGCAGTTCATCTTCCAGGAACACGTGTTCTTCGTGGTCAGCAATGTAGATCTCTTCCGTGGACCGTGAACTGCTGAGAGCTGTCTGTGGCGGTTCCTTGTTCTTCATGTCGAAGACTGTCATACCAGTCCACTTCTTGAGCATCATCTTCTGAGCTGTATGCTCATCTGTCCAGTCGTCGTCCAACTCCTCTGTGGCGCCATCTTTGTAGAGGAGAAATGCTCTTCTTCCTGTCGTCAGGTAGGAGAGCTTCGTTGGAAATCGGCTTGTTTGTGGTGAGAAGAGTGCTTGTCGGCTGCGGACATGATGTCTAATCCATTGGTCTCCATTCTTCTGCCAGCGGTCTCGATGACTGTGCTTGGGAGATGGAGTGATGTCACCTTCCTGCAGTGGATCTTGTTCATGAGGTCGTGGAACATAAGAATCTTCTTCTTGCAATGGTCCTTGTCTTGGTTGTGGAACATAAGGATCTTTTCTCTGCAGTGGTCCTTGTTTTGGTTGTGGATCATAAGGTTCGTCTCTGTCTTCACTCCGCTCAGGTTCTGCGCCAGTGGGTGCTGATGTTGTTTGAAAGCAGTAGCGAAAGCTGTTGCAGTCCTGCCAGAGCTGGTTTGCTTGTTGTTGAACCTATCCAAGAAACAGAACGGCTTTCTTCTGCTCATCGGTGCTCACTGGTCGCATGTCATCGAGGGGAATGATGTAGTGTCCTGAATCAGTCAAAAGCACTCTAATCATTGTTGGCTTGGACACTGTTGAGGCGTCGGCATGACAGACCAAGAGACCATCGTTGTTCTTCAAGAACTGTGTGATCAGAGCGGTGTTCATAGCTCTGAGACTTGGGTTGCCGATCAATGCCGGACATAGTGAGCCATCACCTCCAAGAACATCTGCTGAGAACGATGCTCGGTTGTCATTGCCGTCCAAGTGGAACTCAAAGGTCACTTCGGCGAGTGTGGAATCGCCTTTGCCGGAAATGCCCGTCACGGAGGTGCTGCGTTCCTTCCATGTCATGTACTTGTCAAGGCCAGCTGGTCGAAGACCGATGAGACCGGCTGCAGCACCAGGATCCACTAGTAGTCCTCTTCTCTTCTGGCCAGCTACCGTGTGGTAGGTGCTGACATTTGGCTCTGAGATGCCATGGTGGACCATGACGGGGGAGTTCAACACTTTCTTGCCGGGCTGTGCAGTTGTTGTCTCTGTTATAGGTTCCTCGCGCTGTTCCTTGTGTCGGCTGAGGAAATCTTCTTCGCGGCTGATGTCGAAGTTCAGGATGGGCTTCTCTGGAGAACGCTGCAAGGGCTCTGAAGACGATGAGATTGAAGGTCCTGACAGGTCAATGCCAAAGCGAGCGTGGTGGAGTTGTCGAGCTTCACGAATGCTCTTAGTTGGACTTTCCTCGCCGACAGGGGGCCTTTGCCTTTGTTGTAGTCTGAGGACCATGGTCGATAGCCTTTGCCCTTGCCCTTGAAGCCTTTTCTCTTTCCTTTGAAGCCTCCTTTGAAGCCACCGCGGACGCCGCCTTTCTTTCCTTTGCCTTTCCTCTTTCCCTTTTGCCAGCCATGAGGACCATGTTGATGGGAGCTGCCTTTGCTCATAGGGCACGATGAAGAGCTATGCCATTTGGAGCCGCAAACAGTGCATCCCAGGCCAAGGCTGCCTTTGCCTTTGCCTTTATAGTAGTCTTCCGTCTCCTGCACTGATGTCGTTCCAGCGGACTCCTCTTCTGGTAGAGCATCTTCTTGCCAGTAGTCCTCGTGCCATTCATCTGCAGTTGCCCAATCATAGTTGCCGTTCTCGGACTCCTCGTCATAGTAACTTTCAGGCCACCATTCATACCATTGGTCATCTGCAGGGTAGTCCTGCCAATAGCTTTCAGTCCAAGACCATGGTTCTGTCAGGTAGCTTGCGTTGTCATGTTCGGCTGTCCAGTCCTGGCCATAGAGCTCCTCAATCTCAGTTCCTTGGGAAGCAGTGGATCTGGCATCATAGAAATGACCTGGTTCATTTTGGCGATGTGCCAAGCGAAGAGCCAGGTTTCGAGCATCATCAAACCTCCTCATATCGCCGTGGATCTGGAGCATGATGTCCTCCACATGCTTTGCCGGAAGTTGACTTGCTCTAAAGAACAAAAACGTTTTCGCGACGTTGTTGATCTGTAAGCCAGCATGGGTCACCGCTTCCTCCAGCTTCAAGTTCCATTCCACTGAGAACTCCTGCAACGAAAGGCGTCCTCTCTTCAGGTCAAAGAAGGTCTCGAGCGAGCGGGTTGCTTGAACTTGTTCAGCATCGCCGAAGGCCTCCTTGAGGGTGTTCATGAGGGCTTGGACACCGCTCGGGATCGCCGGTTGCAGGATAATGGCCAGGTTCATTGGATCGCACACTTCTTCCACAGAAAGTCGAACTAGGGCGGCGTCTTGCCAGGGGATCAACCAGCCTCAGAGAATGGGCGATGGTTTGTGCTCGCCCTTGTAATCGTCCAGCGATCAACGGGCCAACCATTTCGTCAGGGCCCTCGAAGGTCCGGTACCACATGCGGACCCGTTCCATGTACAGCTTCAAGCTGCAGCTTGGATCACCGGGGATCCAGCCAGGAGGTGTGTCCTTACTGAACTCGCCCAAAGGAAGGCCACCTGGTACCGAGGCCCCGGACTGGGCCATGTCAAGGAGGAGATCCTCCTTCCAGTGGAGGATGCCGTAGGGCTCGAGCTGGATGTTGAGGGCACCAAGGATGGACACCGTGAAAAGGATGCAGGTCGATGCAAAGGCCGCCACCATGAAGCAGCGGAGTGCGAAGGGAGCAAAAGGTCCCTGGAAGGCACGCTACGGCCAGTCCAAGGTGGAGCCTCCGTAGAGGCTCCGCTACCAAATTCGGTAGCGCTTCTTTTGTGCCAAAAAAGGTCGACCTGCGTTCACAGCTTAATGCCTATGACATGACAATGCTTGTAAGTTCACTCAAACCTTCTGTTGCTCCGACTCAGCACTCCATGCCGTTTTGCAAGTCAAGGTCTACAATGCAACGGGTAATGTAATCGCTAAAGTGGGACTTCACTCTGAACTTAGCTCTTGCGAGCAATTCTCAAAGTGTGTTCAAAAGCTGAGGACCCCTGGCAACATCTCTCGCACGCGGTTGTAGAAGTTCACGAACATCTTCTTGATTGCTACAGATGCTCCGTCCTCACAGCAAGACAAAGGAAGAAATCTGCTTTATCAACGACCGCTGGACAAGAAGGACAAATCCTGCAGTCATAGGAAATCTTGTTCGTAGAGTTTGCAAAAGCGACTATTGTCCCAAGCTCAAGAAACTCCAAAAGGTGCACCCAAAAGCGACTTGTCTCTTTTTTTTAGTAAAGAAACTAATGACAAATGGAACCCGAACAAAACCTTCAAGCCCAGTCCTCAAATCCTCCATGCTTTGGAAGTCTTGACTTGATCCAAGCTGGTGGGCCCTTGCGGCCTTCGTCAAGCTCAAAAGTGAACAGCAAAAACACAAAAAATTGCCCTGGCCACCTCCACACTCTTTGTTTGGTACAGACCAGAGAGACCCATAGAGACCCTGGCCATCCCTGGCCTTCATACTTCATGTAGATCTTGAAGCGCTTCTCCTCGATTTGCACTGCTTAAAGAGCGTGTGCGACATGCAGACCATTGCACGCTACACATCCCCCTTGCAATCGTGGATCCTTATGTGCCCAATTCAAACATTGGCTCAACCGGCAAGGCAACAAATCCATGCTATCTTACACACTTTGAAGGAATGTGTCTACAATGGATGTGGCTGACCTGTGTGCAATCCTCTCATGCTGCAAGCAATCTGAAACCGCTGTGGGTACGGGCACCCTTGTTTGTTTCAGCCCGTTGACGAACGATGAGTCTTGATGTGCCACTACCACGCTGTTTTTGGCTCCGATATGTCGTCCGATCGGATGTAGCACTGGGTTGGACTCGCGAAGACACAGTAAGCATGTTGCAAATGTTTTTTACCAATCGCGAACAAGGCTCCTTTTGCGGTTGAATGAACTTTGGCTTGTGGTCTTCTCTTCTATCCTCTGCTTGTTCTCGGCGTTTCCTGGACAAGTACATTGACGGCCTCCTCTCTAGAAAACTTGAGGCACCTTGGAACCTTGGTTCAAGCAGCCCGGTACTAATGTACCAGCCAATGGTGATGCAGAAATAAATACTGCAGCATCTTGCAGCCGTTTGTCCCTACTCTTGACCCACCCATCTGTGCAGCCTATCTGATGCCCTTTGCTGGGCGACACTGGTATAGGCATCAGCTGTCACGCCCTGCGTCGGTAGAGGTTTTGGCACATCTCTGACAGTGTTTGGAAACCAAACCCAAAACCAACTAGTTTGGTGTTGACTTTATTCCATGTTGTACGTATATTTCAAGTAAAAAGACCAGGGGCCTCGATTTCAGCTATTTCTTCCTTGTCTTCGCCATGGAGAGGAGGTGCCTGCAGGGACTTGCAGCAAAGCCATACACCATGTGTGCTATTTGTGCCGCTGCATGCAGCGAGTGTGGTGGGAGCTTGGTCTTTTAGAGATTCCACCAGCTTGGTCATTTCCTCTTGCTTAACCAGCCCTGGGCTTCAGACTTCAGCCATTGCCTCAAGCAAACAACGACTCTCCAACTTCGGCACGTGGCGTTTACAATGATACATCTATCCCCCTCGGGTGTGTTTACAAACAAATAAGCAAGCACACCAGCTCAAGGCTAGTCTGACGAGTGTCAGACCCTAACCCTTCAGCAATTAGCTGAGTGCTCAGCTCACTGTTTTTGGAGCTGTATTGCTTAGTTGAGCCACAAAGCTGGGTTTCACCAAACGCACGACAAAAGTGAGGCTTAAGGACCTTAGAAGCTGAAAGTACACAAAGGACCAAACTGAGTCAGAAATCGCTGAATGGCCACTTGGCCTTTTCTGTCGTCCAGCACTGTCCAATTTTGGCACTGCATTGTGTATCACGTGTGCCTGAGAAAGGCTGGTCAAAACAGCACTCCCCAGCAGTCTCGCATTGTCTTCGACACTGGATACTACGGGCACAATGTGCAAACCTTCAGGACCAGGACCATATAGGCCCCTACGGGCACAGTCCTAATGTGCTGGAGGCACCGTGGCTCATGTCCAGCTTTGCTGTCATTCACCAGGTGCACAACAAAATGTGCATGCTTTTAATTGTGCAAAAGTACACAGTCCTGAAGGTGGCAGTGCACATGGTACACTGCAAAATGAATTCGGCTGTGCCTTGCACATTGAGTGGTCCGACTGCGATCCCTAGATGCAGTCTGCACTTCTTCACTTTGAATCACATAGACTCGGCTCTGCTTTGAATCCCATGCTTACTGTTGACATGCTTTTCCTTCCTCCAACCTTGAAAGAACTTGCAATCATTGCCTCTTCAATCTGGGTCTTCTTTTATTCCAATTCTAAGGGCCTCTCCTGCAAGCAGATCTTGAAGATCCATGCTGTAACTTCTCTCTCGGTCTCCAAAGTCTTCCCACCTTCTTCTTTTTCTTCTTTTTCTTCTCCTGCCAGTGGACTTGCGACGGAATCCTAGGAGTGAGCTTGCTTTGAGAAGCACACCTTCAAGAGGCTCGGCTTGCTCGGCTTGCTCGGCTTCGGCGACTTTGGGGCCTGAGAAGGCATGTCAGAGAAAGCGCTCGGTGCAACATGGGACTTGACTCAACGGCCTCCACAACTTTGCTTTCTGCCCATTCCTCAAATAGCGGTGATATCAAAGTCATCGAAACGGCTACACTACACGTTGATCCAAGCCACACCAGAATTTGCCCTCAGCAAACACTGAACTCTCGAAGAAAAGTGCATATTTATATACCAGCAAGTAGCATTTGAGAAGAAGGCTCAGCACTGAACTTTGCACCCAAAAAGTGCTGTGAGATTCTTGAAAGTCGCTGAAGGACGACCTGTAGCAATGTGCTTTTGAGTGCAGCTAGTGGCAGAGTCCCCCAGAGAATCAGAATGATTCATGGATCATCCCCTTGTTGTTCTCATAAGTGGCCAAACACGAATCTGCTCCCAGAACAGCTCCTTTCCAGTGCGCGGCTGCAGCAAATCTCCTATATAGACCCCTCCTTACCTTGCAATACAGAATGTAAACGCCCCATGGGTACAGCAGCCTGATTGACCGCACCAGCTGGCACCGCATTTTCTGCCTTGGCATTGGCTGTCGTTTACAACAGCATTTCAGCACTGACCTCACCCTACTTTCTCGCTCAGTGGCAGAGGACTCCGTTCTCCACGGAGGTTCAGGCTCTCTTTCCTGCTGTCTGACCTGATGTACACAACAAAGTGAAAAGGATAAGTTCAAAGCTACAACCAACAGAACTGGGTCTATTCTCAAGGTGTTTCGCATGTCCTCAACGTATCAGATCTCAACCTTCTGATTTTTAGATTCCACACTTCTTTCCAGAACAGTGCGAATGAGCACCACTAAGGAACATACAACGTTGTCGCCAATTGCCGGACTCTTAATCAGGGGTGTTGATATGGCATATCATGCAAATGTTTTGACGGAGGTTTGTGAGCCAAAAGGGTCCACAAACAAATGGGATGCCGTACTTTCATTTGTCACCTGTTTCTCTTCTGAAACCGATTCAGATTATTTATAGTATGATTCAGGCTCTCTTTTTGCAAACATGCAGTTCGTCTATTTCCGCAAAAAAAGGCCCCACAATTGCATGAGATGTTCATTGATGTTCGTCAAACAGGGCTTAGGCGTTTCGGACTTTCGGGTTGAAGAAAAGCAGGAATGTCCCTGTTCAACATGGACATGTATAACTGCATAATGTCTCATGGATACCATTCGATGTCTCACGGACTCTGGGTGGAGACGCAAGGATCATTGACCTTCTCAGCTTCTGGCAAAAAACACGAAACAAAAACAAAATACAAAAAGGATTACCCTAGGCCCTATATGTGTACAAAAGGCAAACGTTTAGATGTGGGATCACAGACGACTTTGAGTAGAAAGCTCCATTCTTCGCAGCAGACACCCCATGTAGCACTTTGCAACAGTAGATATAACGTAACAAGATGTAACAAGTAATAACTGGAACATTATCAGCCTCATCGCAGGCACTGTTGACAAAAACTTACGGCGGCTTGCCTGAGCTCCATCAACACTTGCTGGAACTGGCGTTGCTGGAGCTTCCAGCTGCAACAAGACCTGCCAAGCCGGTAAGGCTACGCTGCGGCTACGGTTCTTCAAGGAAGCTCCATTCGCCAGGAAGCTTCCTGCCCCGTTCGTACCAAACATTGCTCCGTTCGTAGCGATGCCCTTTGTTCCGTTCGTAGCGTCCTTGTAGTAGTAAGGCCAGGAGCCCCTAGTAGCGTCCTCTTTATAGTGTATGCTGTTGGTGCTTCTCGAATTTCCAAGACCTCCATTCCCGTGTCTGCCTCTGTTGCATTTGCACCTGGTTGCTCATTCCACAAAAGCGGTTCAGGCACTGCAGAAGCCTCCTGAAGACGGATTTGCTGAAAGGATGTGGGAAATCTTGAGCGCAAAATGCGCAACTAGGAACTAGCATGATTCAATTTGGTGCTTCATTCGAGCAACCTGCCATGTCTGGTGGAGTGGAGAAGAGCCAGGTGAAGTAGGACACATGTTGACAGGAGCGGCAGGTTGGCATGAAGCCTGCATAGAACATTGATCCAACAAATGGCAACTGCGTAATTCAAGCAAACGATCCTGCAAACAAAATAGCAAAAGCTTGTGATGCGTAATTTATTCAATGACGTGGTCTAGCATCCTTTTGCCCGACTTCAAGAATAGCAATTGCCAAGCGTCATAGTGTGGAGACATGCTAGCAGCTGCGTGACGAGCGTTCCACGCAGGAGTGTTCCACACAGGAGCGTTCCACGCAAGGGGTTGAGGTTGCAACGAAGCTTGCTCCTTGAAAAGTGAAATCAGCTGTGTTCCATGCAGTATCGATGCGTTGCTTCGTTTGAATGATGGTAGGTTCCCTTTAGCAGAGAACTTCTGCAAAGTGGCAACGAATGAAGTAGAGGCAATTGAAGGTGCAGGGATTCGGTCTGTGGCAGGGTCCCGCTGCAATAAAGCCTGATGGACCAGAGAGTAAAGTTGACTCAGCAGCTTCGATATACAGTCTACATTAATACGGTCTAGTTATGCAGTCGTGAATCCAAAGAATACAAGTATGTGATTAGTCTTGCCAGCTGGCCAGAGGTGAATCACCAGAGGTTGGTACTACAATCGACTCAGTGATTGTAGGGTCAGGATGCGACGCCTGGCGCAAAAAAAAGCCTTTTTGGTGAGACATAAGGAAGCATCATAAACTACATCCAATGTTTCAAGTTTCATACAATGTCTTGTGTTTTTCAAAGCACTGACTCTGAGTTGGGAATGGTTTTGGTCCGATGTTTGATCTTATTCCCTGTCTTACTTGCACTTCAACTACAAATGTTTGATCGTTTAAAATTCAATGTCGAGGCAAAACGTAACTCTTAATCGTGACAACTTGTGCACAATCTTCACTGCCTCGGATTCATCAGGTACTGAGACGTCATCAAAGGCACATTGTGGGTCAACTTCCTGCTCATCTTCCTCCACTTCCAGCTCCTCTTCCTCATCCTGTTGCACGCCAGCTGACTTGGAAAGCCGGTTGTACTTTGGCTTGGACACTCATGTCAAGCAACTAAGGAACACTAAGGTCACTGCCCACGTGTATTTCGCTGGCTCGGCCACAAGATCGATGTGAAAGGAAAGCAGTGGCAATCAATCAACAAAGCATCTCACGACTTGTCTTCAGTCCTGTTCTTCTGTGGCTTCGAGCGAGATGGTCACGCAGAACCTGAGATTCCACTGGAGGACAATTTTGTCAACTGTCCTTATCATATCTTTAAAACGTAGAATAACTATATATCTACATAGATAGAAACCATGGACCAAATGAATAGTGCGAGTACTTTTCTGCTTACAAAAGCTCACCTCATGGCCTAGGTCAAGCAACAGAATCAGTTGCCGAGCAAGAAGAAGAGAAGCGAAGGCGACCAAGCTATCTGTTACTCCAGTGTCGGACTGGCTTTGCTGACCGATAGAAAAAGCTGCCATGTGTGGCTGCATTGCCATGTCAATAACGATGACCAGCAAAACTGGGAGGCTGCCACACAAGCACAGAACTTTTGCGAAAGTGGCACACACTGCCTTGGCCAAGATCTATGGAAGGCTCCCACTCAGCACATGACGGATATGTAAATCAATGCTGTAGTTTGGTGGACCAAGGTCGCAGCATCCTTGTTTGACTGGCTCTTCATTACAACGGAGTAGATCGGGGGCGATACCAGAGCCTTGGAAACACTGTCTGGACTCGTCCCGAATTCGAACACCTCCACGCTATGCGCACGGTCGGAAAACCTCCGGAAGCTGCAAAAATCCTCTGGCAGTCTGTTGTCCAGTTAAGCTGAGCCACTCGTGACACAACTGCCAGTGATGCTATCAATGCATTGGCAAGGCCAGAGCATCTGCCTTGGATCAACAAGCACAATTGTCGTCTCACACTCAAGGGTTGGAGCACAACCATACTGCAGCAAAGCCAAGTTGCATTTGCGCCTGAGATTCCTTCTGCACAAGGCTGTACATCTGCACATGTGGAATACCATCACATGAAAGTGATAGGCCTGGGCAGAGGAAAAGCATGCATTGCTCATAGAATGCAGTGAATGCGGACAAGAAAAGATTCTGCAAATGCTCAGGCCGCGTCCAAGCAAAGACAGAAGAAGACTGGTGCCATCAACAGAATCACAATCGTAGAGCCTCTTGGCCTCCATGTGTC